ATGGAAAAGTTTGGAAAAGAGCTCCAGAGCCAAAAATTCAGCTGCCCCTTCCATTTCTGAAACATCACAGACATGGAGAAACGTTCAGCATTCACTTTGTCAACACCTACACAGCAAAAATGCTTCCAGAACTCCATGGCTAAAAAGCATCCCACCATTGTAACAAAGAGTATTTTTGTATTTTTAATACTTTCTAAAAAAAAAAAAAAAAATTAAAAAAAAAAAAAAGATTTTACATTATTTACTAGCAATGGATATATATGCAGAAGCACATCACACTACAGCAATATTTTATCAAGTTATCATTGACCTTCACCAAACATTATGCACAGTTGCTCCAAAGATTCCCTCTTTCCTCTCCTCCCCAAACTTTCTGTGGAAGGCAAAGAAAAGCTGGGGTTGGTTTGGTTGCTCCTGGGCTGAGGTTTTGGTTTTTTTTTTTTTGTTTTTTTTTTTGGTGTTGTCACACCCCAAATTCAAGGTTTCTATTAAAAACCCAATTTACTACACCACCAACTCATCTTCCAAAACATTCCCCAGCTCCAGAGAAGCAAAGGCTTTCAGGAAATGCATCCCAAGCTGTGTTTTGTGGAGAGGACCCCCCCCAAAAAAAAAAAACCTGCATGGAGGCAGGCAGGGAATTTTGGGGGGCTCTGAAGGAGCAGCTGTCACTGGGGTGGGGGAGAAGACCCTGAGCACCTTCTGCAGTGCCCCAAATGGACCTGCAGCACACCTGGGGGGTTTTTTTGGGTTTTTTTTTTTTTGGGGGGGGCTCCCTGGCCCTGGCAGGCTCAGGGTTTGTGCCTCTCTGCCCTTCAAGCTGTTCAGGAGTGTGACTTCAATCACGTCCTGAATTCTGGCTCGGGCAGAAGTGACAAGAAAGAGTAGAAAAGTCTGAGCTGTGTCAAACAGAGCTGTCACTGACTGGGTAAAAAAGGTTTGTGGGTTTTTTTTGGTTTTTTTTTGTTTTTTTCTCCTGGCATCAATTCCCAGCCAGAGCTGAGCAGGAATGGCACAGAGGGCTGAGAATTAAAAATTTAAAAAGCTTCAAATTGATTCCTCCTCATTTGTGTTGTGTGCGTTAAAATTCTGTTACATCCTTTATCCCCCAGGGGTATAAATTTATAAATCTCATTTATCCCCCGGGGTCTGAGGGTGGGGACAGCAGCCCAAGGGCCAAAACCCAGCCAGGACGTGCTGCCAGCACCCTCCTGCTGCAATCCAGGGCTTCCCCATCCTCTCCTGGGGGTCCCTGTCCTATCCTGGGGTTCCTCATCCCCTCTTGGGATTCTCCATCCCCTCCTGGGGTTCCTCATCCCCTCTTGGGATTCTCCATCCCCTCCTGGGGTTCCCCATTCTCTCCAGGGATTCTTCATCCTATCCAGGGGTTCCTTATCCTCTTCTGGGGTTCCCCATCCTTTCCGGGGTTCCCCATCCTATCCTGAGGTTCCCCATCCCCTCTTGGGATTCTCCATCCTTTCCTGGGATTCCCCATTTTCTGAAGGGGTTCTCCATCCTATCCAGGGGTTCCCCATCCCCTCTTGGGATTCTCCATCCTTTCCTGGGGTTCCCCATCGTCTCCTGGGGTTTCCCCATCCTTTTCTGGGGTTCTCTATCCTATCCAGGGGTTCTCCATCCCCTCCTGGGTTCCCCATCCTTTCCTGAGGTTCCCCATCCTTTCCTGGGGTTCCCCCATCTTTTCCTGGGGTTCCCCATCCTTTCCTGGGATTCCCCATTTTCTGAAGGGGTTCTCCATCCTATCCAGGGGTTCCCCATCCCCTCTTGGGATTCTCCATCCTTTCCTGGTGTTACCCATCCTCTCTTGGGGTTCCCTATCCCTTCCAGGGATTCTCCATCCCCTCCTGAGGTTCCCCATCCTCTCTTGAGGTTCCCCATCGTCTCCTGGGGTTTCCCCATCCTTTCCAGGGATTCTCCATCCCCTCCTGGGGTTCCCCATCCCTTCCTGGGGTTCCCCATCCTTTCCTGGGGTTCCCCCTCCTTTCCTGGGGTTCCCCATCCTCTCCTGGGGTTCTCCATCCCCTCCCAAGCAGACACCAACCCCCAAAGGAGAGTTCCTGATTGGTTCCACTTCAGCCATAAATAAATGTCAAATAAATTTTCCCCCCTCAGGGGACACCCCCAAAACTCACCCCACACTCCCAGCCTTCCCCCCTGCACTGGAATCTGCACCAAACCCCAACTTTTAGGGCAAACTCCATCATTTGAGACACAAATATTCTCTGTTATGTCACAATTTCCAGTTCTATGCCTGGCCCTGTCAGCCATGTGCCTTTACAGCTTGTTACTGATATTTTTAACAGGTATTTTGAAATTTAAAATTCTTTCCTAATAGGAATCTTGTAAAATTGTGTTTGTGCAGAGTGTGCTCAGTACTGCTGTCACTTTATACAGAGAGGGTCAAAGTCTTCACTGTCACCTCTAAAAGCATTTTACCATTGAATTCTTTCAGGTTTTGATATGTGATTAAAGAGGGGGAGGCTGTTAAAGAGAATTTTCATGAACAAAGTCTCTGTTCTACTCAGAACCCACTCACAACATGGCCTTCAGAGCATCACCTTTTCTCCCTGCCATAAAAGCAATTAAAATAAAGCTTGATCATGTGGGACAGTGTCAGAAAACTGAGCTCAGAGTGGGGAGAGGGAAAGGAGGAGCAATCCCAGCCCCTACATCTCCAAACCAGCACCTGGTGATAAATTGCCTGAATGAAAATACATAAAAATAATTAAAAAAAAAAAAAAAAGGATGCTACAAAAATAAAAAAAAGCAGTGTTTTAGTGTTCACAACTCCAGGTTTGCTCCTCCTTAACCCATCAGAATTTCCTCCCTTTCCAGGAGGGACTGCAGGGAAATGACACCATAAAGAGCATTTATCCAGAAATATAAATTATGCCTTGTAAGACAAGGGGTGTCTTCCTGGCATGAACCCATCCTTTGCCCAGAGAAAACCCAAGAGAGATTTTTGATTTGTTTATGTAGCAAATATTTCCCCTCTCCCCTGGAATGCAAAAGATTTTGCTGCAAAACACCTCAAAAAAAAAAACCCTCCACGATAGAAAACTTGTTCTAGGTTAGTGTTGATCAGCTCACTTTCACCTTTAAAAATAAAGGAATTAAAGAAGAGAACAGAAAAGCAAAGCAAGTCACTTTGGTGATTATGAGAACAGGGGAATTCATTTTCCTTCCTGCAGCTCTGCCACTGCATTTCAGGCATCCTGTACCAAGTGGGGCCAGTGGAGCTGTCAGAAACCCCAAAGGTTTGGTACAAAATGAGGACCAAAAAAAAAGCTGTGGTTGGGAGTGGTGGGGTGGGAAATGCAAACAAAACGTGGCTCTGTTTCCCAACCCTCAATGAAATTTTGCTTCCACCTGCTGGGATGTCCCTGCTCGTCCTGACTCTGCTGCAGGAACTCCCTCGGAGCTCCTGAGTGCCAGGAATTTGATTTCTATGGAATTAGTGAAGGAGCAGAAGTTTAAAATTGTCGAGGGAATCCCACAGTTTCACTTAATTCACAGAGGGAAGCCAGAAACCAGGGGGGGAAAAAAAAAAAAATCTGCAATTCCCATATTAAGAGCACATTTGACTTTGGAAGAAGTGATTTCAATGATGGCTTAAACCCCAAGGAAACAAAAACGCTGATTAAAAGAGGCAGGTGACACGGTGACCCAGAGCAGCTCCACCTGGGGGGACAAACGGGATCCCCCAGCCCCAAGAGGGTCTTTGAGACTAAAGAAGGATTTGTCATGTGCTGAAAGGGCCCCTGTTACATTCTGGACGGGGAGCCCACGGTCACCAGAGCACGCTGGTGACAGCAGTGACACCCCAAAAGCTGCCAGCTGTGTCCTCAGCATCCCCCGGGCCCTGTGCCCTGCAGGGAGCTGCAATCCAGCAAAGCTGGGAGCATTTCAGAGCCTCCTGAATGCAGGAATTCAGTCCCTGGCCCAGGGATGCTGTGGGACACACAGCTGGGCTCACCTGGGCTCACCTGGGCTCACCTGGGATCTGAGGGACAGGAATTGAGCAGGGACAGCCCCAGGTGAGGCAGGAGCTGAGGCTGTCAGGGTTGGAGCAGTAAATTACAGTACAGAACACAGGAGACAGGGCTCAGTTATTGCCACAGGGCTGCTCTGCCACCTTGGAATGTTCAACTGCTCACTGTGAGCATCACCAGGAGCTGGCACAGCAAAGCCCAGCCCAGTGCCAGGGC